AGATAGTTCTAGAAACAAGATAGCGTGAGAATTGTCACGTGATCTCGATGACGCAACAAATACTTTCTGACTGCAGTTCAATTACTCAATACCTACACACATTGTCCCGTCACGTTGTCACCCTCTTATATATATACCAGACTACCCTATATCTAGTAATCTCCCGACAATTCCCGAAGGTTCGAGAGAACGAGTGGCGTGACACTAGTCACGTGACCTCGCTGACGCAACAAATCATTATTTATAACAACCAACAATCAAAGTGAAAGAGAAGTAAGTATTTGTATTGTACCTTTACTGAAGAGTGAGATATGTAATGTTAAATTAGACTAAGCTCTCAACAGTTAAGTTACAACTGTATCACAAGAAATTGTGGTTAAATTTATTTCAAATTATCTATATAGTAGCTTAGCTCTCAGAAGTAATATGATTGTTTAAAACTTGTTCCAGACTGAGAAAACATGGCATAATGTAGGAAAATCAACATTTCTAGATCTCTAAGGATACAGACACCACCTACGTTACTGAGAATCACTTTCACTTCAAGGTAAGGGGTGTTATATCCCCCAGGCATCACTAAATTTGCCAGTAGGAAAGATCATTGTTGCTTTCCATACAAAAAGCACTATGTCATTTCTAGCAGAGAGCACATAGATGTTCTAGTTGACTGACCCAGTCCCGTGTGTAATTAAGGTAAAAGGAACTTTTTATAGTAATCACAAAAGACTCCATATATAAGGAAATTTTGAAAAATTATATATATCAACTCAAGGGATAGGAAACGTGGTGAGCTCGTATAACACATTACTACTTACATCAGAAAAATAGTATCACATGCATTTGATGATGATGTTTATCCATTCTTTTGATGTTCAGAAATGTATCCGATAAGATAATCAAATAAGATTTAAATAGTACATATTTTCTTTGTAGGCTAAGTACTTAATCTCGATGTTTTTGGCCAGAGGGAGGCTATAGTAATGTGTGGTTAAGAACTTTCAATTCTTCTTTTTTACTGAAAAAAACGCCCAAGAATGTAGTGTTTGTATATTTGATTTTTTGTATGGGTATTTAAAAGTGATCCTTTGATGAATTAGTCTGCATTATGAAGTTACATTTTACTTTATATGTTGCTTTTACGCAATTCAGTATCATATTTAAAAATGTCTCATTTGTTGCAAATGAAACAATTGTGTGTTCAATCTTTTGCTAGATGAAATGAAATACCTAAATTTATCATCAGAATAAGAAAAAACACCGCACTACGATATACAACGTAAAGTTTTACTAAGTAAATTTGATGCATTATATTAAACTTCGATTTAAAAGTTAAATATACATGTATCACATATTAACTAGTATAGTTTGTATTACGATTAATTTACCATCACGTTCCAAACAGGAAATATGTGCATAATAGTCGACTCGGGACAATGAGGCACTTGGTTAAATGTTGCAAATTCGCTACGTAATTCACATATTTTAATCAAAATTACCAAACTTCAACAAGTTTCAAACAATGAATAGAAACACGTGTGGAAAAGTAATCGTAATCGTCATAAAATGGCGTATTCCCATACATTACATACCACGAACAAAACTATTTTTAAAATGAAATACAACACGAACAAATTAAGTTGGGTTCTTCTTAAAATAATACAAAATAAATTTAATTATAATTTCATGGTTCTTGCAGATAACGAGATACTAATAAGGCACGCATGTGTCTGAAACGCTAGTTTTTTGTTTTGTTTTTTAAAGAAGATAACTGTGTCCATAGACACTCGAATGGTAACAGTCTGTCACCGTCTTCGTATTGTGTTGTAAATCCTAATACATCATCTCCAGGCAACAGTTCGTTAATTTGGACACAACAATGAGAATCAGGAAGCGGGGGGGGGGGGGCACACCAACTTTTCATTTTTCCTCAGCAAAAATACATCGAAATTACGAAGATGATATTCTCAATTAAACCTTGCTTCTCCACATTTAATTTGTCTCCTACACATCTATGATATAAGAGTAAGGTCGTTCTAGGAAAGTTATTTAAGGGGAAAAAATGGCTGCCTTTGAAAACTGACCGAAGTCATTATTTGTGAAATTTAAATGCACACACTACTCTCTTGGTAAAATCCCACACAGATTTCGATACAGGTACTATTTACTGTAGTGTGTTTAATGTTGTAGTGCCCACAAGCTATGCTGTGTGTTTAATGTTGTAGTACCCACAGGCTATGCTGTATATTTCATTTTGTAGTGCCCATAGGCTATGCTGTATATTTCATTTTGTAGTACCCACAGGCTATGCGGTATATTTCATTTTGTAGTGCCCACAGGCTATGCTGTGTATTTAATTTTGTAGTGCTCACAGGCTAATTTTGTAGTGCCCACAGGCTATGCTGTATATTTAATTTTGTAGTGCCCACAGGCTATGCTGTATATTTAATTTTGTAGTGCCCACAGGCTATGCTGTATATTTAATTTTGTAGTGCCCACAGGCTATGCTGTGAATTTTTTATGAAGAACTTCTGTCTTTCAGAAATCCACATTTTTCTTTTGCTGCAAAAAATCCAAAAATCCATATCATAAAATATCTACAGTAAACATAATATTAATAAGTATATTTTATCCCCCAGTGGCACAGCGGTATGTCTGTGGACTTACAACGCTAGAAACCAGGTTTCAAACCCGTGGTGGACAGAGCACAGATAGCCCATTGTGTGGCTTTGTGCTTATATGCAAACAAACAAACAAATAGGTATTTTCCATAATCCTCAAACCAAGAGGTTACAAAATAAAAATATATTTCCAAAGCTAATATGATTTTTTGTTACCAATTAAGGGAGTAATTGGTTAAAGTAATTTTATCAAGAATTCATACTAAAGTGTTATGTTAGTAACCACGTCGATAATATTTTTGTTTATGTATTTGTATATATAAAAAAATTACCGATTTACATTTTAACATTATTGTGTTTAAGCTTTCATTGAAATAAGATTAGATTGGTACTCTTGGTGTGTCGGTTTATAAGTTGGTCATAGCTTCTTGCGGAATTCACAAACTGGATACCTTAAAAAGTTGTCTTTACAGAAATAACTTTCCAATTACAGTCATCACTGGCCGAACATAAGAAATTATATGAATAAACATTACACTTCTCCATTCTTAAAGTTCGAGTACTTACATTTCGCATGTAACTTATTTTGCTGTTTTAGCGGCGCTTTTTCGATTTGGGTTTAAAGGCCAAATTACGGTAAAGTTTTCTTAGTAATCCTGAACTTAGTTCTCATATGTTGTTTATACTTGCATTT